TAATTAGTTCTTAGAACTATTTCATTATTTAAATGTTCTTTCAATAAACATGAGTGATTAGTCTCTTGCTTTTCTGAACCTGTGTGTTACTGTTACTGGTGTCAGGAGAAAAAATGTTACCCGTTATTCGACGGAAAATAACGTTATTATTTAATCTGTACGAATTGGGCCAGTTGGTTTGCAGTCCTGAGTTGACTGAATCGATTAATTCTTTAGCTAAAGAACTCGCTTCGGAACATAGTAAACTTTTGTTGAATATTGATGTCGAGGATCATCTGAATCATGAGATATTGGAGAAAATCGAGTTTTACACGTCCAAATTAAAGATATTGATTGGATTTTGTAATGGCCAATTCAATGCTAATTCTATTAAGTTGCCTAAGATTAAATTAGAATTTTCAGGCAAACAACGAGATTGGCTATCATTTTTAAAGATTTTTGAAGCATTGTTATCGAAAAATGGTTTTTCTCTTGAGGAGAAGTTTTTACTATTGATGAATGCCCTGCCTTTGTTTATCAAGAAGGATTTGCCTATGGTTCCTACTGAAGAGAATTTTGAATGGATTATTCAACATCTTTCATCGAAGTTTGGGGATGTGAATGAGATTGGTCGTAATTTGCTATCAGAAGTGGAAAATTTAAGTTTAAATCGTCGATCACCTTTATATTTGGTGGTCGATAAACTGTCTGTATTGTATGCTCAAGCATTGAATTTATCTATTTCGGAAGAGGTTCGTGAATACGTGTTCAAGAAGAAATTGTTTGCCGCTATATCATTACCGTTGGTGGGTCGTTTGAAAGAGGCTGGTTTGGTTTCGGTTAAAGATTGTTTGGCCTTTTTGTCTCGTCAGGCGAAAGTCGAGAAGGAGTGGCGTTCGTGTGGTAATTACGGTGATGGTATCTCGTTTTCAAGTGGTAGATCCGTTATCGCTTTGTGTCGTTTGTGTGGCTTTAAAGATCATAAGACGTTTGCTTGCAGAGTTGGTTCTGCTGCGTCTCGCAAGAAAATGGCTATGCTTAAAAAATTGTGTTTACGCTGTTTGCAACCTGGTCATCTTGCTAAGGATTGCAAATCGAAATTTTTGTGTACGAGCTGTCGTGGAATGCATTCTTCAAATGTCTGTTCAAATGCTTCTCCTGGTCGGTCCACGAAAACGATGAATAATGTTGATATTAATGATGATGTTAAAGACGAGTTTTCCGAGGCTTTAAACTGCCTCGCCCTCTCAGACAATTGATTCGTTTACTGGTTCGCATTAGTAATAAAGATGTTTTTGCTCTGTATGATACGGGTGCTGGTGTGTCTGCTATCTCTACTGCGTTGTGTAAGAAGTTGGGCGTTAAATTTGTCAATGCTAAGCAATCTGTCTTTTTGGCTAATGGCGTTAAACTAGTGTCGTCTGGGAGGGCGAATGTTTTGGTGGATATCAATGGAGTCAAGAAAATGGTTGTGCTTCGTGTCTTTCCCAAGTTACAACATAATTTAATTATTGGATTAGATATAATTCGTTTGTTTGGTTTGGAACAACGGAAGGATTTATGTATTTATATGGATGATTGTCTTTGTACTGTTACTGATGTATCGGATCCTTGTTTTATGGATAAATCTTTTGATGATTGGTCAGTTTTAATGGATCAATCCGCCGATCTGTTTGTTGGCATTGGTAAAAGTGGAAAGATTCGGCATCGTATTGATTTGATTTCTGATAAGGTGGTTCGTCATGCTTATCAGAATATTCCTTTTCATTGGCAGAAAAGTTTGGCGGAGCATATTGATGAGTTGCTCAAAATGGATGTTATAAGAGAATCGAAAAGTGAATTTCGTTCTCGTATTGTTCCAATTAAGAAGAAGGATGGTTCTGTTAGGATGGCGATTGATTATCGTGATTTGAATAAGATTACTCGTCAAGATGCTTTTCCCATGCCGAGGATTCGTGATATTTTGATGAAAGTGGCGAAGGCTAGGATATTTTCGAAGTTGGATCTAAAGAAGGGCTATTATAATATTTTAATGGAGGAGTCTTCGAGGAAATATACTGCTTTTGCGTTTGGCAACAAATTATATGAATTTAATCGCATGCCGTTTGGTTTGGTTTCTGCTCCACAGACATTTCAACGTATGATGGAGATGACTTTGGGTCATTTACCATTTGTGGAATGTTATTTGGATGATATTATTGTCTATAGCAACAATTTGGTTCAACATCGTCAACATTTGGCTGAGGTTTTTGACATTTTAAAGCGGGAGAAATTACGTTTAAATCGTGAAAAATGTGAACTTGGTCGGTCTGCTATCGATTATTTGGGTTTTAGAATTGATGGTGGTAAAAGATCAATTATTGCTTCGAATAAAAAGAAGATTTTGGATTTTCCTGTCCCGTCTTGTTCTAGAGAAGCCAAGACTTTTGTTTGTTTATCAAACTATTATCGAGATCTTATCCCTGGTTTTGCTAAACTGGCAGCTCCTTTATTTTTTTGTTCGAATCAGAAGAAATTTGTGTGGTCGGATGAATGTCAAGAAGCCTTTGATAAGCTGAAAATGGCCATTCGTCAGGATCCTACTCTTATGATTCCGGATCCTGATCTTCCGTTCATTGTTACTACGGATGCTTCAGATTTGTCTTTTGGTGGTGTCCTGTCTCAAATTATTAATCGGGAAAAGGTTCCGGTGGATTTCTTTTCCCGTAGTTTCAATAAGGCTCAAGTGCGTTATGGAACATACGATAAAGAAGCTACTGCGATTATGGAAGCTCTTAAGCATTGGCGTCATCTTTTGATTGGTAAACCTTTTAAGATAGAGTCGGATCATCGCCCCTTGCAGTGGTTATTATCAAAAAAAGACTGTTCTGGCCGTTTGGGAAGGATGGTGATGAAGCTTCAAGAATATCAGATCGAGAATATTGATTATGTTAAGGGATCTGATAATATTTTGGCAGACGCTTTGAGTCGTTTACAAATTAATTTAGTTGAAGATTCTGAGTCTGAAGACTGCGTTATTTTGAAAGATAGAAATAATTTTGTGAATTTGGATAATCGCTGGTTTTTCGTTGACAAGTCAAAGGAGCGTCAAATCTTCAGATTGTATATCAGAGATGAAGATGAGAAGAAGAAAATTTTGAGAACCATCCATGATAATGGTCATTTTGGCCTTTTCAAAAATGAAGAAGAAGTTCGTAGGAGGTTCTGGTGGCCTAATTGGAGAAAGGATGTTAGAGAAATGGTTTACGGTTGCAGAAGATGTGAAGCTTTCAAGTCGAATGCCGAAAAGACTAAGCTTCCGATGATTCCGAGTGATGTGGAGTACACAAATTGGAATCGTCTTGGTTTGGATATTTGTGGACCTTTATCTTTGTCGTCGAAGGGTTTCAAATATATTGTGGTGCTTCAAGACTATGCTACGAAATTTATGGTTGCTGGTGCTTTTAAGGATACCAGGACTGAAAATTTAGTTTCCTGGCTGATTGAAATTTTCTCGATGTTTGGTTGGCCAGCTGTTCTAGTCTGTGATCGTGGTTCACAGTTTGAGAGTGCGATGTTTAATAAGTTTTTGGCTGACAACAATATAAAGTTAAATTTTGCTTCCGTTGGTCATCATCAAACTAATGGTCTTGCTGAGCGTGCCATTCGCACGGTAGAGGATATGCTGAGAACTTCGGTTCTTGATCAAGCTGATTGGGATGTGGCGTTACCCAGATTGATTGCGGCTTATAATGCTTCGGTTAATTTTTCTACGAAGGAGTCGCCTTTTAAGTTGTTGTTTGGTCATAATATGTCTACTCCCTTGGATTTAAAGTTTGGTATTCGTCATGAAATGTCGGATTTGGTTGAGTTATCGCAAAAACGAATTCTGGCAAATCGTTCGGCTCAAACGCTTCAAAAGTTTCAGTATGACAAAGATGTGAAGTTGGAAGTTCTTGAGCCGGGTGATTTGGTTTTGTGGCATCAATTGGATCGAGCTCTTGGGTCGTCTAAGAAATTGAACAAACGTTGGCGTGGTCCTTTCAAAATTCGTGCTAAAGAAGGTCCTAATTTTCTTATTGTGGATAATTTTGGAAATACTCGCTGGATTCATCATAATCATTTGAAAAAAGTTGATTCTCTTTTTGATGAATCGTCTAATGATATTTTGAGAAGTCGTGGTCGTCCGCGCTTGTTTAATCGTGGGGGGGAAGAGTAGCGCCCCTTAATTGGGTTAATTAGTTCTTAGAACTATTTCATTATTTAAATGTTCTTTCAATAAACATGAGTGATTAGTCTCTTGCTTTTCTGAACCTGTGTGTTACTGTNTGAGTTTGATCCAAGGATTATGATCGATAAAAATGTCATCATTTTTTTTCCATATGAAGGAACCAATGAATATTTCATACACGTATTCATTGAACTGAAATGCAGAAATAAATAAATTTTTCTGAATTACAAGAAACTTTCCAATGACTTTCAAATATCTTTTTTTTTTGATTATCTATCATAAATAAATATTATTTTTTATTATTTTGGTTCCAACAACTCATATTGAACGAACGAACGAACAGCAACAACGAATGGTCAAATTCTCTATATATATGGGTTATTTATGTATATCAATATCCAATATCAAAAAGATTTTTACTGATTGAACTGATGGTTCTCATTCATTCTTTCGTGATTCAATTGTGTACCCAAAGAGAGAGAGAGAAAGAATATAGCTATTATATTTTCTATTCTCTCTCTCTGTGTGTGTATGAAAGTGACACGTTGATTTATATGACCAACAAAAAAATCGAGACCGATATAAATCAGATCATGTTCTTCAACCAAAAATAATAATAAGGACAGCAAGAGAAAAACGTCAAATGATGGAGAGCAATGATTTTCCTGGATTAGTTTTTCTTTTCAATGATTCTTTTATCATTTTTGCTTGCTTGCTTGCTTTAACACTGAATTATATACACGGGAAAAAAAAGTAAATGCTAATATAAGCAATTATTTTCTTTTTGATATCAAACAGAGGTTTTTTCCAAGCAAACAACTTGAAGTATTCTGAAAGAAAGAGAAAAAAAACGAAACAATCAAATTGAAACCAAAAAAAAAAAAAAAAACCTCCAAAAAATAAGAACAGAGAATGATGAAAATCAAAAGTGAAAGTGAGAAAAATTGAATTGAATTGATTCGCCATTCATTCATTCATCTATTATCGACAAACACACACACATATAGACAGACAAGAATTTGAAACAAACACAAGAATTTTTCGTTTCTTTCGTTTTTTCCGTAAACGTAAGCACATTTTAATTTTTAATCTTTACACCATTTTATTTATTATTATTATCAATTGATGGATGTTTCAAGTTCAATTTTGTTGCAAGAAAAAAAAGACAGACATTCTTGAAATTAAGAATTGATTTCGAAGGAAAATTAACTGAACACACTGAACACTACATCAAATATTCTCTAAATCAACTATAGTGACTTCTTGTTTTGTCTTACGAATTTTCAAAATAAAATTTATTAACATTGATTTAATCTAATTGTGTGTGTGTGTGTGTCTGTGTGTGTTTTCAAATGACACATACAAATCAAATATACACACAGTGAAAGGCAAAATTGTTGTACCCTTTTTTTCTGTTTGTTGTTTCTACCTTATTCTTGCATTTGTTTTTTGTTTGTTTTTTCTGTTGATATTAATCAAGGTTTTCAGGATTTGTTTTCATTCATTTGACACACTATTTTTTGTAATGAAAAATCGGTAAAAAAAGAATCTGTTCAGGCAAGAATTTCGACATGTATAAAAAACACATACACACACACAGATTTCAATCTAATTCAATTTATTGTTCACAAAACGAAACGAAAAAAAAAGGAAATTTTTCACCATTAAAATTTGAAAAAAAAGAATTGTTGTTGTTGTGTACGAAGTCATTTTGTATTTTGGTAATCTCATCTAAATAATTCAATAATTCTGTTTTCTATTTTGGCAGGAAAAATTTATTTCTTCAAGTAAATTTCAATCATCATGATGCAAATCAAGATTCTTTCCTTTCAAATTTGAATTTTTATTAATTTTCTTCGATGAATCAGCATCATGAATTTGCATCATCATTATCATTTGTAAAAAAAGATTCAGAATTTGATATTGATTTTAATTCTTTCATTCGTTCATTCATTTATTTTCATTTTTAGTTTTCAATTTTCAATTGTTTTCAATGGTGTATGATCATTGAAAAACATCCAGAATTTGTTCAGAATTCACATTGTTCTGTCATTATTATTATTATTACGATTGCCAAATCTGTATGGATGTGTGT